ATTTTCCCCTGACCCTAGTGATCCGTTTATCATTATGTTAAGAGGGACATCTGTAGCTCTGTTACCAAACTGAATGAAGTAGGTTTTGTCAATGTTAGTGTAAGTTGTTAGTCCTCATCCAGGTAGATATTTCTGTAATTCGGTATTTACAGTATTGGCTAGCGTGACTGGGCTCGGGTGGGAGAAGACGTATGTAGTGTCATCTGCAAATAGTGTGGGTTTGAGTAATTGCGAAGCATTTGGAAGGTCATTTATGTATAGGAGAAAGAGAAGAGGGCCAAGGACACTTCCCTGTGGGACACCAACTGTAATTGGTTGTGCAGAAGAGTTTGCCCCATTTGCGTACACATATTGGCTTCTGTTGCTGAGGTATGACTTGAGGTAGTTGAGGGAGTGCCCTCTTATACCATAGTGTGACAATTTTACGTGGAGCAAGTCATGGTCAACTGTATCAAAAGCTTTACGTAAGTCAATGAAGATCCCAGTGGGACTTCTTTTTTCTCTATTGCAGTGTATATATGTTCTAGCATGTGTATAATAGCATCATTAGTATTTTTATTAAGCCTGAATCCAAATTGGCAGGGGTTGAGTATGTTTTGGGAAATAAGGTAGGAGTAGATTCGTTTATGAATTAATTTTTCAAAGATTTTTGAGAGAGGGTGTAAGTTGGATATTGGCCTATAGTTATTCAACTCTGTTTGGTCTCCTCCTTTGTGGATCGGGGTGACCCTTGCTATTTTGAGAACTGTAGGGAAGGTGGAGGATTCAATGGATTTGTTAAAGAGTGTTGCAATGATTGGTGATAGCACTTGTGACACTTTTTTGTATAAAGGGTGGTAAGGTATTTAAATCTCCTGCCTTGTTTTTTAGTGCGTTGATAATAAGGGAGACTTCATATGGGTTAGTCGGAGCTAGGAACAGTGTGTTTGGGTAGTTGCCGGTGAGGTAGTCATTTGGTGGGGTATCTGAGCTTGGGATTTTATTGGCAAGGTTTTGTCCTATAGTGGAGAAGAAATCATTGAGTCTGTTTGCTGTTTCTGTTGGTGGGAGTTGGGGTTCATCTGATTTTGCTAATTTTATTTCGCTATTTCGTGATATCTTTTTTGTTCCCAGAATTTCTGATAGGGTTTTCCAGGTCTTTTTTTATATCACCTCGTAAGTTGGATAATCTGTTCTCATAATACAATTTTTTTTGCCCTTCTTATCAGGCTGGTTAGGATTGACGAGTAACGTTTTGTTTGGTCTCTGGTTATGTGACCCATTCTGTACTGTTTTTCATATTGGTGTTTTGTATTTATGGATTTGAGAATGCTGGGTGTTAGCCAGGGACTGTTCAGTCTCTTAGCTGTCATCTGTTTAGTTTTTTTAGGGCAGTGCTTGTTATAGAGGTATTGGGTCTTTTTTAGAAAATTATTAGTACATTCGTCAATATCTGTATAGATTTCTAGCTCAGTGTGCCAGTCAATGTTTGCTACTGCTGTTGTGAAGTTATTAATGGCTGCCTCATTGTGAAGTCTGAAGGTGACTTTAGTAGTTTCTTGAGGTAGTTTAGTCGAGTGTGCATGTTCTGATTCCAGTCCTTGATTGCTTCTTCAACCTTCATATTTATTGTAGTTATTTGCTCAGTGTGGCTGGCTATAGCTGCTTTTAGAGTATTTTCTGTGTCAACACTTCCCGATGTAATCTTCTCTTCAAGGTTTTGGATCTTGTTCTCGAGGTTGGTTATCTTGGATTCTCGTCGCTCGAGTGTTGCTTTGATATCTTTGATTTCATTTTCTAGAGCAACGATGTAGTCCTTGATATTGTCAGGAATAATCATACCTGAGTTATCATGGGTGAATCCTTTGAAGGGAGTGGAGTTGGAGGGGGAGTCAGCCATGTTTGTTGTTGTTGTTGTTCCCTGGGTGGCGGCGGTGAGGGGGGTTGATGATACACCGGCGTCCTGCTGGGTAGACAAGTTGAGCTCTAGGGTCCTTGCTGTTATTCTATTATTACTGGTGTTGTTTCTTCTGCGATATCCTTTCATAGTATCACTGAAGTAGATACTGTGTAGCAATGGAGGAGAAGGCTTGTTTTCTCGGAGCTTGGGTTAAGTGATTGTCTGGCAGCGGAGGCAGTGTTTGGGTTAGCAGGGCTGTCTTCCTTAGATCTTCTAATTTTGTCAAGATTTGGGTTACATTCTTAGTATTCTTGGGTCATGTTGTGGTCTACGTGGGTTCATGTAGTTGATCTTTCACTTAGGCCATCACAAGTTTTGATGAGCGATGTTTTTTTTTTGTGAAAGAAGAGCTGGTAGGATACCGTTGCTGCCGCTGCCGCCGCCACCAGTACATTCTTTCACCCTTCTCTCTGTCCGAACTGTTTTAACCTGTTTAGATTGAACAGATAAATTACTTAATTTGAAAGGCGCTATAGAAGCTTAACTAACCCGCCCCCTTCCAATAAACACCAAGGATAATTACAACGACTCGAAAATAAGAGCATTCCGGTTCGATCCAAGGAAGAACAGGTCAAGTTCGTTGGATCAAGCTCCTCACTAGGGTAAAGGAATTGCTCATGGTAAATTTCCACACTGAAGAGGTTCCACGCTTTCAATTTAATTACGACTAAAAATATCTAACCTAGACAGGACTCACAGCAATGGTTTTAAGTTGGAAAAATTCAGATTCAGGAAGGATATAGGAAAGTACTGGTTTGGTAATAGAGTTGTGGATGAGTGGAACAAACTCCCAAGTACCGTTATAGAGGCCAGAACGTTGTGTAGCTTTAAAAATAGGTTGGATAAATACATGAGTAGATGTGGGTGGGTGTGAGTTGGACCTGATAGCTTGTGCTACCAGGTCGGTTGCCGTGTTCCTCCCTTAAGTCAATGTGACCTGACCTGACTAGGTTGGGTGCATTGGCTTAAGCCGGTAGGAGACTTGGACCTGCCTCGCATGGGCCAGTAGGCCTTCTGCAGTGTTCCTTCGTTCTTATGTTCTTATGTTCTTAAAAGTCTTCAAAATTGTTACAATCAAAATTGAGTGCTAAGACCACAAAGGTCATGCAGCGCTGTAGGGGCCAGATGTGCTAATGAAATTGCGTAGACCAAAGACTAGTGAGGGTTAGGAGTATGCAGTCAGTAAGGGTAAGAGAGAGTAACTAAGGAAAAAATATCAAATTGGTGTAAATTATTATAATCAAGGGGAAGCGCTAAACCCGTAGGATTATACAGTGCCTGGGGGGGATGTGGAAGGCATTCAGGCTTAATTCGGGGAACTGGAGCACAGATCCAATTCCCTAAATCAAGAGCCCCTCACCAACATCAAGGAACCTTCCCCGAGGGGATTTGGTGTAAAAAAAGCAGTCTCTGATAAGTTGCTTTAAAGAGTCTAGCAACTACCATTATATTAACACTTAGAAGCACGAAAACTTGCATTGGGAAGCCAAGCAACACCCGAGAATGGAAAAAATCAATGAAGTTCAGTCCTAGGGAAGCACAGTCAAATTCCATGCCTTGAGCACTTAACCATAAGGGGGGGGGGGAGAAGCGAATCTGAGTGATACCTAGCCAGAGGACAGACTTGCATTAATGCTCGTGCAAAGAAATTGTATTTGTATATTATAAACCTAAACTATTACTTTCAAGTAATACAAATCAGACTTAATGGCCCAGGGATTACCAAAAATAAGATGCTAAACCCAAGAGGGTGATACAGCATGGCCCAGGGATAAAAAAAAAAAAAAAAAGCCTCTTCCTCTGCTTTACCAGAAGCGGGGGATGTTTTCTCGGGCGTTTTACCATGTGTAAGAAGCGGTGGACCTGAATTTGTTGTAGTTGATTAAATTGTAGCTAGCCTAATTTGTCGTACCAGTTTAATTAGACTAATTTGTCAGTTTTTTTTTTTTACCAGAAATCTTATTAAAGGATGAAATCAAGTTATGCAAGCTGGAAATGAATCTTAAAATAATCACAATTAATACGCTAAATCCAAGCATACAGCGCTGGGTAACCATACAAAAAAAGTGAACTGTAGTTTTGACATCACTTGTAAAGTCTGAGTAGTTTAATCATTGAAATTATAATCGTGGGGTTGTTAAACCCACAGGATCGCACAGTGCACATGAAGTGGGGGCAAGGATGGACAGTATTCAGGCTCAATTCAGGGTACCGGAGCAGATCAAATTCTCTACTGCAAGAGCCCCTCATTAGCATAAAGGAACCTCCCTCGAGGGGTTAAACCTTTTACATTCCCATGTAGCACTAAACCCATTGGGGCCATACTATTCGATGAATGGACAAAAGTCATTCCTTAGATGAGCCTCATCAGCAATACTATTATACAAAACTAGCACAGGCTCGAGAAAAAAAAAAAGCTTTAATACAGGAATACCTAAAACACTGGGCCTAAATTTGATTTCGAGGGTGGAACTGTATAGCAACTGTAAGGACAAGGTGTTCCAGCCTAGTCCAAGGAAGTATTTGTCAAAGATATCCACTTTCTTACACCAGGATTATTATTATAATCAAGGGGGAAGCGCTAAACCCGGAGGATTATACAGCGCCTGGGGGGGGATGTGGAAGACATTCAGGCTTAATTCGGGGAACTGGAGCACAGATCCAATTCCCTAAATCAAGAGCCCCTCACCAACATCAAGGAACCTTCCTTGAGGGGTCTTACACCAGGAACCCCTCAGGTTTAAAGGACACCCTTGAGGGGGCATAGTTAATAGTATGGCATTTTCTAAAATTTACTTGCTATTTCATAGCCACAGCACTTGAAATTTATGAAAATTCTCAAGGCTAGGATCAAGTCCTTCATAAAAGATGCACCTCCCTGCTGAGGTTGCAAATACAATTAAAATACAAAACATTAAATATCACCTCTTTGCCTTTATTTCACACAATTACAAAATGGGAGAAAGTAAATTAAAATAAGTAACTTCCATTTACTTTGTTCTAGTACATTATAAAAAAATTAAAGATATTGGGGGAAAAAAAAATACAGTACCTACAACTTAAAGGAACAGGCAGAAGTTATAACATTAAGCCGAGAGAGTATTTGTCTTAAATTGAACATTTACTGGCCGCCACGGAGCCGAAGAACCAAATGCAAAGTAGATTCTTTTTGAATGTTATAATCTGAGAGGGTGCGACCATCATCTAGCTGCTTACCAGCAAAGATCAACCTCTGCTGATCAGGGGGAATCCCTTCTTTATCCTGAATCTTGGCTTTCACATTTTCAATGGTATCTGAAGGCTCCACCTCCAATGTTATGGTTTTTCCAGTAAGGGTTTTCACAAAAATCTGCATACCACCACGAAGCCGAAGAACCAAATGCAGTGTAGATTCCTTCCGAATGTTGTAATCTGAAAGGGTATGGCCATCTTCGAGCTGCTTACCACCAAAGATCAACCTCTGCTGATCAGGTGGGATTCCTTCCTTATCCTGAATCTTGGCTTTCACACTTTCAATGGTATCCGAAGGCTTCACCTCCAATGTTATGGTTTTTCCAGTAAGGGGTTTCACAAAAATCTGCATACCACCACGAAGCCGAAGAACCAAATGCAGTGTAGATTCCTTCCGAATGTTGTAATCTGAAAGGGTATGGCCATCTTCGAGCTGCTTACCACCAAAGATCAACCTCTGCTGATCAGGTGGGATTCCTTCCTTATCCTGAATCTTGGCTTTCACACTTTCAATGGTATCCGAAGGCTTCACCTCCAATGTTATGGTTTTTCCAGTAAGGGGTTTCACAAAAATCTGCATACCACCACGAAGCCGAAGAACCAAATGCAGTGTAGATTCCTTCCGAATGTTGTAATCTGAAAGGGTATGGCCATCTTCGAGCTGCTTACCACCAAAGATCAACCTCTGCTGATCAGGTGGGATTCCTTCCTTATCCTGAATCTTGGCTTTCACATTTTCAATGGTATCTGAAGGCTCCACCTCCAATGTTATGGTTTTTCCAGAAAGGGTTTTCACAAAAATCTGCATATCACCACGAAGCTGAAGACGAAGATCTGAATTGTGTACCTGAAAAAAAAAAAAAAGTTTAGTGATAGTACTAATTTCAAGTCCACTACGGTTTAAATTTCCAACTGCGAAGCAATCCATTAGTAAAATTCTGAAGTAAATTTAAAAGTTCACCAAACCAACTTTTGCCTGTCAATACAGGGAATAGCAAATCTTATTTCATAGGTAGCAATAATTTCAACTAAAATTTGCATTTATAAACTAATATGCCTAGCTTCCTTTAAGCCTTCACAATTTTTAAGGGATTAAAATAATTCAATAAGAGTTGATGGTGTACAAAGAAGAAGACAAGTGCTTCCCTTAGTGCAAGGCTGACTTAGAGAAGAGTATCTTATTGTCCATGTTTACCACCATTGTATATATATGTTGGCATGTACATTATACATGCAAGTTACATATCTGAAATACATTCACACACATGTATAACGATTTATTCACTAACTTATGTATGCACTATGTTAAGTTTCTTTCATACTGGTATTTTGTACAATGTGCAGCAGCATATAGTATCAAAATGTACATACTACATTTATGAATATATACTTCACAAACCAAATTTACAACTATTAAGACAAGCATTATTTTGGAAACTAATTTTATTTACCATTTAAATAGCTAAAATAATGTTATATACTGCACATGATAACCTATAAGGTTTCGTGGAGCCAAGGCTTGGGTTATCCTAGGTAATTTACACATTACTATGCATAATTATGAACTTGCTAAATCTTTGGTATATAATAAATGATTTAAATGCACAGCAGTCTTAACATTTGTGGATTAACCACACTAAGTATAATTATGGGGGGAAGGGGGGGAGAAGCAGGGAGTGATGAAGGCATGGGTACACCAATCACTAGTGTCCTATAGCTTACAATAGTGGAGCACAGCAAAGCGTACTGGTTCATGTAGGTAGGTCCAACTCAAACCATCCACTCATGCCTGTCAAGACTATTTTCAAAGCTACCTGAAGTTTTCAATGCATCTGCATTATTACCAAACTAGGGCTTACCTATAATCTGCATTATTACCAAACTAGGGCTTACCTATAATCTCGCTGTATGAAAATGAGACCAGACAGCTTTCAATACACTATAAAGGTTGGGACAATTTTTGCACAGCAGATTATAGGGAAAGGTAACGAATTACCTATGTGGGGTGGTGAGGTGGGGGGGGGGGGGGTGGGGAGGTGGGGGGTGGGGGGTGGGGGTGGGGGGGAGGTGGGGGGGTGGGGAGGTGGTAACCATCCGTGCAACACCAGACTGAATATGGTTGCCAATTGTATTGGTCAGTTTGTAAAAGTTCAGGCAGCATTATTGAAACTTTTCAAAACCCAGGACGACAGGATAGCACATTGGGTTTTAGATGGTGTAAAGTACTTAACTTTAATAGCAAGGAGGGAAAAAAAAATGCTTATGAACCCATTATAAGTGGCATGCCACAGTTTTCAGGACTAACATTTACATTACAGAAGGGACCGATGTACTTTATCTCCTTTATCAGAAACTTTCTGTAAACAAAGACAGGGCACTGAATTTGTGCCCTCTTTAAAAGAGGGCAAAAAGGAAGAGGGGCAAATTCAAGACCAGAATAAGGGGAGGGGGGGAGTCACAGCTTATGAAATCAACCAGTAAGATTTGCCAGTGGATTAGACTGAACAGTTTGTATGTAAAAAAAAAAAAAAAACTATAGTTTGGCAAGTTATGAACGAGACACCAATCATTAAGAGAACTTTGGGTACCTTCAGAAACAGGTTTGACAGGTAAAAGACTGGATGGGTGCAGGTTTGATCTGCCTAGTACCAAAAGCTGTTTATTAATCTTAATTTTTCTTTACAAGAAAATCATTAACAGGTCTTGAAGAGGGACCTTCCCCTACTGGGCTGCCTGTTTTACGAATTTAATGGATCAACTTTAAAATCCTTTCAGATGGACCTTTGCATTGGTAGGTATATAGTACATGGGTTAAAAATGCAATAAATAATCCAACCTCACACTTCCCTTTAATACAGCACAGTACATACAATTTCCCCGACTGGCAAGTTTGCTGTTCCTGCAAGATTTTTCAGGGTCAAGTAAACTGTTGCTGCACACTCAAGTCCTTCAACAGATACTATACAAGCTAATTTTAATTTTTATTTCTACGTCAGCATTAGCCACAGGAAAACAGGACGTGATAAATTATAGCAGGTAATTACGATAGCTAGAAGTAATCGGAATTATTAACGCAATCTTTAGGAATAATGGTAACGAGTCATGACCATGGAGAAGCATTAACCTGTAAGGGTCAAACCATCACCTGGGCAATGATGGGTGACGATTTGATTTGACAATTGTATTAAATGCCTTGGACCAAGAACTATATCTAAGAATTCCCCCCTTTTATATTCTGGGAGCTTTAAACCTGTAGGATTTACAGCGCCGAGGCTTTAGGCAATCGAGTTTGATCCTAAGAAATTCCATTGCTCGACTCGAACCTCCATCCAATTATTATAATAAAGCGCTAAACCACAAGAGCTATACAGCGCTGTCCCTTTATCCAAGAGATTTTTACAATTCTACTGTCACTAGTTCCTGACTAATCCATACGTAAAAGTACTTAACACCCCCCCCCCTAAAAAATAAGCTAAGAGGCAAGATTTCGTTCGGATTTTTAACCCGGAGGGTTAGCCACCCAGGATAACCCAAGAAAGCCAGTGCGTCATCGAGGACTAACTTATTTCCATTGGGGTCCTCAATCTCGTCCCCCAGGATGCGACCCACACCAGTCGACTAACAACCAGGTACCTATTTACTGCTAGGTGAGCAGAGCAATTGCTGTAAGAGAAAGTGTCGAAATGTTTCCACCCTCCGGGAATCGAACCCGGACCCTCCATGTGTGAGCTTTAGCCACCAGGCCGCCCCTCTACGGGAGTACTTAGAAAAAAAAAAGTTGACCTGGGATAAATCGCCTCTCACAAGGCCTTTAATTTAAAAGAAATCTGTATATTAGGCCCGTTTTAAACATACGTCTGAATAAATATTTTAGCCTTTCAAGGATACGGAGAATGTTTAAATTTTCAACGTATAACCGCCCTTTTTCCCTTCAATATATAACCACCCTTTATTTTCCTTCACTTCATCACTGGTGCCAGTAACTTGCTAAATAAAGGCGCACTAAATCAATGCAAGGTCTGCATCTAAACAAGAAAACCACAAGTAATATACTACTTACATAAAGTTATAAGCAAACTGCTCCTCTCTCTCTTACTTGAGCACTCTCGCACATCCTCTCTCGGAGTGTGTGCTGTACTAACCAGCCACAAGCAAGCAAGCAAGCAAGTGCAGGTAAGATCCCAATGGGATGAGCGGGGAAGACTGGACAGACAAAGAATAGTGCTGGAGAGGAGTGTTCTTAGTCGTAGAAATAGAGCCAGGGCTTAACCCAGCAGCAAAGGCGATCGTGGGACAGACTTGGAGAAAAAACGGGAAGAGAGCAAGCTGTGTATGGAACTGAACTTCTCCAGGCCGAGGGACCGACAACCCCAAATTCCACGACCTCAAGAGCGATGGACCGACCACACCGCCCCCACACCTCCACTGCTCCTGCCCACCTTCTGTACTGAAGAAGCCCACTGAGTAGGCGAAACGCCCCGGAACAAAGTCGCCCATCTGTTGCCTGTATGTCTCACCCACCAGTCTCGTGGTAGGTGAGGTCTTTGAGTCTCGAGAGCTGGAAGTTTCCAGGTCGCAGGAGAGGGCAGCAGACATGTGGGAGGTTATTTTAGTAGTTGAGGAGGCAGGTTTGCAGTGGAGCCATTTGCAAACTTCTTGAAGCTGCTCCTGGAGAGGTGGTATAGCGTTGTCTTGTTGGAAAAAGTGAAACGAAGAGGCTTGATGAACTCAAGAACTTGCGTGAGTGTGAAGTGAAGTGGTGATTCGCAGGCATGTTAAACCTAAAACCCAATCTAACTTTATTATTTTTTAAATACACTACCTAAGAGAATACTCCATTCTACTGAATGTACAACAATGCATACAACCATATGACCTGTCTTTGTAATACTCACTTGTGCTGTATAGTAATCTGTTTACATTAAAGTTTTATCACTGATGTCATCATTGCTTAGTTAATCTTAAGTTAATTTTAAGCCAGCCCGTAATGCTATGCATAGTATAAGTGGCTTTGGCATGCTGCTCTTATCTGTATTTTTTTGTACCTCTGTATGTGTGCTCAAATTTTTAAATAAATAAATAAATAAACTGTTCCATCACCGAGGCCTTTGTAGAGTTCAGAGCAGGTCATGGTGTCAGCGTTCGAGGGAGAGGTGTAGAAAGTAAGGTTTTCCCAAGAGGGTGTGCTGGAGTCGTCGCTATCTGCTTTGTCGGGGGATTCGTCAGGAAATTCTTGTTCAATTGTTTCTACAGTGATTGTGTCAAGAGGAGGCTGGGAGTCTAGAGTATTTGCTGTCTGGCTGGTTGTTGGTGGTTGTTGAGAGGTGGCAGTGGTCACTGGGCGTGGTTCAGGAGTGTTTTTTGGGGCAGAGTTAGGATTTGGGCCTGAAGTTGATGTGAAGTTAGCAATGTTTGGGATAATCTTGAGGAAGTCCTGTGATGTTGGCGAGTCAGGAAAGTTGAATGACGGCATGTTGTTAAGACGGAATAGTTCGTTAATTGTAGTGTTGAATGTGCCTGGGTTTGCTGCATTTGCAAGGTGTGCATACATCATGCAGTACAACACCTTAGAGGGAGCAGCGTCAGGGAGTGCAGAAAGGGAATTGCTGTATAGAGATGACTGCTGTGTGGCTTGTAGAATTCTGGTGGTGTCCAACTGGAGTTTTGAAATGGCGGTGTATGTCGGCGATTTGGGACTATTCTTCTTGGTTTCTTCTTTAATTTTTTTCGACATTACTTCTTTTCATAGTGGGCATTTAGCTGCAAGGGTATGATGAGTACCCTTGCAGTTAAGACATGTTGGAGTGGCATTGGTGGTGGTGCAGGCTTTGAAGTTATGACCTTCTT